TAAAACAAATATTGTGAAGATAGGTAGGATACCTTTCATTATATATATATGAACTGCACAACACGATAACCCCGGATGACGTTATAACAACCCTTGTAGGTTCTAAGAACTACTCCTAACGGATATGGACTGGGTAATTATTGGTGGAAAAAACTACCGAGTAACCACCGCCATCTAGTCAGAATTTTCAACTCATGTTTGGAGGGAAAAGTGGCATATTCCGGATTGGTTTGTTAAGGGGCGGACCGTTCTCATCCCCAAAACAGAGATTTGTCGATTCCTAGTAATCACAGACCGAAAGCATGCTTGAATTTGTATTATAAGTTGTTCATGAGCATCTTATATACACGAATAATCTCTGCAGAAGACCAACCATTTCAACGGATATATTCACAGAGAGAGTCAAAGAGAGAAGTCCTTAGCTATAAAGATAATCAAGATAAATTGGTCATCGATAGGTACTGTATTGAGTCCAATAAAACGTAAATATGTTACACAAGACTCAATGCAGAACATTCCAGTATGCTATGGAATGTTCTGGAACAGTGTATTGAATGGGTGGGGCTACTAATTGGTGAGTGTATATAAAGCAAGATTTGTTGACCTTTCCAAAAATAAAAGGTCAACTTCATATAATAATAATAATATGACCTTCATTATCTCATAAACAAAACAAAAACTCAACATAACTTATATATTCAACTAGCGATTGAAATAAAGGACGAAGCTCATCGCATCGTCCGTAATACAATACATCACGGAAAATGTTCTTCCACTCAACTCTGTGTCCGTTCCAATGCAATGTCGCTACCCTCATCATATAGATCAATAATCAGATCATCCACGATGATGTCTATCACGGGCTTATTCGACATGAAATTGTCCTCAAATTTCTTTACTCGTACAAAACGAGATTTTCATTGCTCGGAAGAAAACTGTCAATAAAAGTCGTCGCAATATTGCATGACATCGTTGAAATTAAATGTAACATTTTCATTTGACAATCTTTCAGTCCGGCCTCTACCAACTCAACCGGATTCAAATCCGGGTGATATAGCGGTATTCGTTCAACGTTGCGATTTTTTGCTGGAAAGAACTGATCTATTTTGTTCCGCTTGAATTTTGGCTAATAGTTGTTCATGAGGGCATATAACTCAGGTTTCAGTATGTTTCTCTAAAAGGAATATTTTTCCTCTGATAACCATGATTCCTGCATATTGTTTTTTTTGTGGTGCATTATCGATCACCACATCGTTTCTAAACTGCAAATTTGGAATCAACTGTTCCGACACCAATTTCTTATAATTCATCTCGTTGTGATAATCATCTGTATTTTAATTTGATTTCCATCCTCCATAATATGATCACTTCTATTTTTTGGTGCGTGTGTGTAGTGTGGGTATATGCATTCACATAAATAATAGGTCGGCATTCGTCTCTATAGGTTCGCATTTTCTATTCTGAGTAGTCGAATAGGCTGGCGTTTCATCAATAATTTCCAGTTATTTTCCAGTTCCAGTTCTTCGAATTTCATGTTTATGAATTTTTTTATCCCTGATGATAGTTTTGTGAATTTCCCTCGTCTAACTCGATTCTCGTTTATATGGAAATTATTACGTATCTGCATGAAATTGCCAAATCAGCATCATCCATTACAATTTTGGAATTTTTGATACATATCTTTCTATTTGGAGTTGAAAATGTTTTTTCTCGCCAGTTTCTATTTTTTTTCATCTCTCGTTCTTGAACCTTCAAAGTTAAAATACAATATTGGTTACAATTTTTCTTGTCATTAGTATTACTCATTGCCTTCGCAAGAGAAATTCTTATTCCATCTGCCGTTGCTTCCGCTTTCATAAATTTCAATACATTATTCACAATTGATCTGTTTTGTTCACAGAAAATATTGTTTTTCAGTTTACTGTTCGAAGGCATTG